ACTTGGCCAGGCTGTAACAAATACTTTTTAATGGTATTGAGTAAACCTGGAGAGCACCCAGGAGTAAACAAAGTGGACAGTGTGGTTGCTTGTAACAGCTGATCCTCTGTTTCACTGCCAGACACTGAATTTCTTCCACTGGCCCCAACTTGTTAGACTTACATTTCCTTCCTAAAATATCATGAATATAAATTCTGTGATTTCTCCTATAAAGACCGGCAGCTCTTCGTAGTAAATCAACACAGATTTGCAATTCTGTATGCTTTCGCTTACCCTAGCTTTATGGCATAATAATTCACTTGGATCACCAAAAGTCACAGAAAAAAAAAAAACCAACACATTTCTTATTGAGCACAGGCATAATTAAACTGTAGCAGCAGCAGACTTAGAGGCAGTACCCAATTTATAAATCAGACAATGCTCTTGACATTCAATCAGCTGCAAATAATAAAATATGAATATGCCCAGATATTCACATTTTCAAATATGTACAAATAATTGTATATCTAGATCACTTGTCTGGAAAATCAGTTTGCCTCCCCACAAACAGAAAAAAATGACACCCATCTCACCACACAGCCTATTTAAGTCCCAGTGGCTCCTGGTATGAAGTAACCTCAGAATTTTCTGCATATTTATATAAAAATAATCCTAAGTTTCAAGTAGGAACAAGTGGTGCTTTTCCAAGTCCTTGATGCTGTATTTCAGAGGTGGCACAGGTACTTGGATGTCCAGAGCAGTTTAAAAAGCATACTAATTCCCCTGCAAATCAAGGAGAGCTGTCATCTTTTACATATAGTAGAAAAAGGAGAGACCAAAATGAGAAAAAAGCACCGTGTTTTGAGAGTTCAGCTCCTTCTCCTAGCTAAGTGCTAGCTTGGTTTGGGTTAGTGCCAACTTGCAGATGCATCTACCAAAGAACACCTTTACTCTGTCATAGTAAAAAATGGACTTACTGCCCAGAGAATAATTCTTCTTGCTTGGCTGAGCACAAGGAACACATAGCATGTATTAAATAAGAGTGGTCAGCAACTGCCTTAGGATTAAATGGGCAGAGATGAGCAGTGTCTTGGTTCCTAAGAAATATTTCAGTGTACAAAGTCTGTATAGAAAAGTTGTCCACTAAGGTTATAAATACATGAGCGTTTGCCATTCTGAAGGTCCTAGACCAGTACCAAACTAGTCTGCATGAGGGTTTACTGTGCCCTTCATGGCACAGCTCATAGGTCTTGGCTATCAACCAACCAGACCATGGCAGGTGCTGCAGAGCACACAGCTCCCTTGGCATCACACGACCAGCTCTCCTGGGCTGAAGGGAGACACCATGGGCCTTGGCCTGTGTCAGGTGGGCAACCATACCACCCACAGCACTGGTGGGTCCCTCAGTGCAGACACAGCCTGTGACATCCTGCAACCAGCTCCCTTTTCTATGGGAGAAAATCTTGTGATACAAGATTTTTTCCAGTTTTACATTTTAATCTGGAATAACAGATGCATGAGTTCCTTATCACTGCCTCTGCTGGTTGTATTATTTACCCTCTGTGTGTAAGTTTGGTTAGTGACTAATACCCACTGACTGTAATCATCAAAAACTCAAACAGAATGGATGCAGCAGCCTTTAAATGATTTACAGAAGAGAAGAGACATCTGAAAATGAAAAAAACAAACAAAAAAAAAAAAAAAAACACAAAAAAAAACCACAGTTGCTGCCATTCTGTGAAAAAGAAAGCATTCAGCCTTTAGACAGTAAAAGAACTCCTAATGTTTGGAAGATCAATCCTTTTTGACTGGGTGATGAAGAGCTATTTCCAGAGTAAGACTACTCATGGTTATCAGCAGACACACACCATACCAGCGCTTTGTATGGTAGTGCAGAAGATTGATTTGGGAAAGAAACTGAGGTTGCTCAGTTACACTGAGGATTTCAGTGCTGTGGGATCTACTTAGAAATAAAGATGAACAAGCTCAGACATCTCTACAAGAAGGAATGGAAAACAGCATCTGGGATGAACTAGACCATGGCCTGCCCTGGTAGGCTGCACAGCTGGCCATCCAGCTGCCAATCCCTGGGTGCCCACCAAGTGTCTGTAGAGTGCAGCAGCTCCCTGGGACATGGCCTGTGTGCTGCCAAAAGTTACATGAGATCAGCAGTACAAAGGGTTCCTGCTCAGCAGCAGGCAGGTGGCTCTGACTGCACAGTACTAAGCTTTTTTTCTGGTAGGCCATCAGGATATTAGTTTGTTTGGGCCAATAGATCTCAGCTGTATGGTGCAGAATCACTGTTTGGCTCATATTGGGACAGGATGCAAACCATGAAGTGGTGGAACAAGTTTCTTCTGCTGCACTTGACAGTCTCTGGGGTGAGTGTTTGCCCTAGGAGCTCCCTTACATTCTGTACAACAAGAGCCTAGCTTGCCATAAGACAGGAAAACAGGATAATTTAGTGAGCTTCAGGAGAAAGGTTCAGATTTCTGCAACTATGAGATTCTTGTGCTATCTCTGGGGGTGGAGATCCACTGAGCTGGCATGACAAACAACTGAAGGAGGGAGTCTTGTGAAGATAAGACAGTCTTGTTTTGGTTAAACTAACAAAAGCAAACAGCTCTTACATAAATCTTGAAGGCCATAGTGTTTGAGCAAAGACCTTTGCCTAATTAATGGCAAAATTAATATTAAAGTTTACACATCTAAATAGGGTTATGAGCTGGACAGAGTCACGCTAAACATATATGACTATATTACTCAACTCTCCACCCAAATCAAGCTAAATGTCACCTGGAAGGCAGGGACAGACAGGATCGGGATGTCAAAAATCACAAGGCGTGTGCCATCAGGGAGGAAAAGACTGAGAAGTTTAGCAGAGACAGTCGATGGGCTGTACTCCTCTGCCTTCACCCAAGACAGGGTTGCCTTCTTGGTAAGAACTGCACCTTCAGTATATGGGATACCTGTTCCCAACATTATTGTTATTTATTAGCACTATTACACAGACTTGAGCCTCTGACCATGTCAGATGTACCGGGGAATTACTAACTTGAGCTGGATTATCCCTTTGCAGTTAGTGCATTTATTAACGCCAATTCCAAACCAATAGGACCTGCCACTTTAATAAACCAAAACCTAAATACAGAAAATAGGGAACTTTGACTGTTATTGGCCTCAGCTGAGAGGGAGAGAGGCAATTACAGGAAAAATTAAAACTTTTACTGAGCCCGATACCATCTTCAGATTTGGCTAAGCAAATCCACAAATCAACACACAGTGCAGATCCCGAAACATGGCATGGAGACATCTGGGACAACAATGGCAGTGGTGTTCGGGTGGAATATTCTGATCTTGCCACAGAACCTGTGGCCATATGACCACCGATTAAAACCAAGGTCACAGAAGAAAGGGACGGTAATGCTCACTATACTGTGTGCTCCGTGCTGTGCTGTCTGGCTGAACTAGCAAAGTTACACAAGAAGTATTCCAGGAGTCCAGAGGAGTCCAAGAGGAAATATGTGTGGCGAGTTTCCCTCACTGGGAGGGACCAAATTTTACTCAGTGAGGAAGAAGCAGGAGACTATAGGAGCCCTGGAGTGTTTCTAACCTCTGAACTGGGTGGTTCTAATTACTCATTAACCACATGGGCTATCACTTGGGGCAGCAGCATAGACCTTCAGGACAGAGGTGATCCCTGTGTTGTTAAGACCTCTGGGTTCTCTGATCTTGCAGAGTCTGTGCAAAAAGCAGCCTGCATACAGGCAGTGTATGAGAGGGATGTGTTGGGGAGGTCTCTTGTGCTAGCCCCTGTTGACCCAGCAAGGTTAACTCCCCTTATCTGTAGCCTCCCAGACAGCCTTAAGACACACGTAGCTCCTGTCCAGGACCATACACAAACTACGGGTGCTAAGAATGCTGTTGCAGCTCAAGCACTGCCCTTGTAGCAGTCAGCCCACGTAACTCCCTCCTTAGCTGTTTTGCTTGGCTTGCTCAGCTCCCAGGAGGCAGTGACCAGCTGGGCTCCCAGCATGACAGCCAGGCAGTCAGCACGTGCACGGCTGTGAACTTGCCTCAAAACACAGTGAGTGCTTCTTGCCCAGCTAGACAGCAAGACAGGGGCCCTTCCCATGCACAGGAATGAGCTGGGGATACTGCCTGTTGGCAAGAGACTGAGCATGGGGACCATAGGGTGGGATGCAAGAGGGGGGATGAACAGGGTGTGCTAAGGAATGTGGAAAGAGACATCCGTACAAGCACGGAGAAGGCAAGACAAGCCCTCAAGAATCTCTGCTTATGAATTCAGAATTGCATACAAGGTCACTTAGGCCATTGCTATAATGCAGCTGTTTCTGGGAAAAAAAAACACAACAGCTGAATAAGCAAATGTGACACAGAGCCCTTCAACAATGTAACAGGTATGAAGCAAGGGAAGCTCATGAGCACCATATATAAAACACAGGATACAAAAAAAAAAAATGAGGAACAGTAATGGTTTGGTGACCCTGGCAGGTAGCTTTTGAACCAACATTATAGCATAAGGCTGACATGAATGTTTCCCATTGGAAATGCTGTTGACCATACTTCTTTTTTCAGCAGACTGGACAAATGAAAGTGGCAGAAATGGTTTTGCCATCCCAGAAGAATGCGTATTTCAAGGTCAGGCTGTGCTTACTAGCCTTCCACATGCATACCACAGGCTGTAAGATTTCACCTATGTCTTTTGAATCCAATTCATCTCCAAACTCTTTCAGTCCTCTCATGAGGTATATTTTTAGCTATGCTTCATCACTGACCCAGGGAATAGACTTTAAATAAATCACTGATATGACACCATTTATTTATATGTCCTATGCTAATATACAATCACCGAGGTTCTTGCAGTCATCAGTGACGCTGTTCCAAGTGTTGGGCAGGACTGCCATCCAGTTGATTGCTAACAGAAGTTATTCTCTTTCAGCTAAGTTGGACAAAACCCACTATTACTAGTGCAATGTGAGGAAGAAGATGCTGCTAACCTTTATGTCCAGGGTACAGGGAGGCTGGACCAAGTAACAAAAGGAGGCTTGCTGAACAGCCACCAAATGAGCATTTTTCTGAGTGACCTGACAGGCCAGGAAAAGTTGCATGTTTCTTATTCCAGATGGACACAAGAGCTAAGAAGAGAGAAAAAAAAAATGTATTAGACATTTCTTCTGCTGTTTAAAAAACAGGTTACCTTCCAGACATCACTCTCTTTCTTGTGGTACTTCAGCAGCTTAATTTAATAAAAGGATGGGTAAGGGAAAGCATTCCATTATATTTGTATATGTTGTTATCATTGAAAACATGACTGAATGCAGAGATCAAGGAAATATTTAACTAATTTCTATTTAGCGAGTTGCATTCTCAGCTCTATTCTGTAGAGCAGGATGGTGCCAGACAGTGCAGCCAAGTGCAAACAGGCTTAAAGAGTAGACACCAAATAAAACATTTGGTTTTCCTTAGCAAATTTGAAGTTACATGCCACCCCGATGCAGAGTACAGGTAGTGACTAAGCTGATGACAAGGAGACTTTGTGGAGTGCTTTAAAGAAGAAATCTCCATGGCCTGGCTGTCTGTGATACTGTTTTAAACACCTGTACAAAGAGGAAAGGACTAAATATGCAAAATAGCATTGAAGACTAAGATTGTTTTCTTTAATTACAGAACTCTTTACACCAAGCATTGTTACTACATGTACATACAGCTACACAGAGCCATCTTGCTTTATTTAACAAAGTTCCTTAGACAAAATTCTGTTGACTTAAAGAGTTTCATCCCAGTAAGGTTCCCTGGATTAGACCACATCAACAATCAATTTTCAGTGCAATTTTATGACGCTAATTATGAAATACTAGACTAAATCATATTATCACTCAAAGACAAACTATAGAGAAGTTTATAGAGCCTAGTAAACACATGACTGAGTCCCTTTCATACTTTAGCAAATAAATGACATAATACACATTCTCATTTATTCTGCGAATTAAGTCATACACCTGCATAATACCATCTCTTGTATGGAAACTAAACTTTCCAATATGACTGTCAATTTCCTGGATGCTTAACAGTAAGCTAGATGGAATAGGCCTGCAATGAAAGCAAAATTATCTATAAACATGGAGTATCACAGAGAAAGAAACCAAACTGAAGATGAGAGGGAAATAGTGATATATTCAGAAATACTTTTAATTTCTTTCCCTGTTTAAATTTAGAACACATAATGGAATTGGACACTGTAGTCCTAATCTAGTAGTCTTAAGATGTTGCTTTAGTTCACAGAAGTAGTATTGTAAGAAAAAGAACCTATCCTGTGATGTTTTGTGATCAATATTACAGTGATTCATCAGCTCCTCCTAGATGAGCTTGGTCTAAACCAGTGAAAAATCTGCTTGTTCAATTAACCATGCATTGTTTCAAGCGCTGGTTCCTAATGTGTTTTTATTGTGCTGCTGTACTGTCTTCTGAGCTCTGACCTCCATCACTGCCCATATTCAATTAGCAGCTGAAGTTTCATTCTAGGTTACTTGCAATTGCTAAATTTGTTTGGAACAGCCCAGTTTTCACAGGAGGTGAGGGTGTATACCAGTTAATAGGATGCAAACAGCAGCACAGAACTGCAGGTGCTATAGGTACAGGTGGTACAGGTCGGAAGGGGACCCTGCTGCCCATGTTAGCCATAGGGAACAACTGACAGGAAGCCCTCCCTTTATCTAGTAAGAGAATTCACACATTGTTTCCTTTCTGTTTCCTACACCTGAATCTAAAATACACACAATCACACAAACTGGTGTATTTATGTATGCCTTTTCCTTATGCAGAGACTATATCTGGTAGTCACTGAGTTGAAAAGCAATGATCAAAGCTGTTGCGTCATGAAGTGCAGTATAAGTCTAGGAGATAAGCTTTCTTCATGCTCAGAATTAGGAGTTTATTCACAGCAGTTTCTGAGACCCCATTTTGCTGCCTATGGGGTTTGTGGCAATCACTTTCAGGCCAGCTTGTTAGGCATCCCTCACTTTGAAAGAAAATGCACTTCAGTTCCAAAATTGCCAGTATTCCACACAAATTCAGTGTCTCCTCACTTCCACTTCTCAAAAGCTTTAAATTAGCATTATTCAGTGCCAGACTCTATAGAAAAAGGAATCAAATGCAACATTTTATATTTTCTGCTTGAATAATTTTATATATTTTACACATGGAAGTTTTTGTGGCTTTTATGTGAGCCTAAGCAGACTAAAGGCTTGATTCCATCCAATCTAAAGAGATTATGCCCCGTGAAACACAAAAAAATTTGGTCTACCTGTCAACACAGCTGTCATCTTCCAAGAGAGATGGAATGAATACTAGTAGGAGGTGGTCTGCTTTCTCCCTGTGAGATGCAGATTTGAAGAGCACAGGCCTCAGGTACAAATGGAACTCCCCAAAACCTGCTTTGATAGCAAAAGCCTTTTACAAGCTAGAAACAAAAACACATGGATGCTTTGAAAAATTAACTTTCTTCCTGCTGTGAGTAATATACATCTAGAAACCTACATCCATCAGGTTCCAATGAGACATCTGCATTCAACTTAAAACATTTTTTGGCACCTGAAATAGTATGATGGATATGAAGCAAACAAGCATTGTATCCAGATAGCTGACGGTTGCTTAGCATCACCCATTTGAGTGACAACAGCAGCACATACAAACAAAGGACAATAAGTTATGAGTCTACAATGTCATAAAGGTAAATCAAGGGAAATATGCTAAATGCTCCTATTTAGAAAGGACTGCATCTGGCAGAGAGGTGAAGAGTATTATTTCAGACTAGAAATTGGAAAGAGAACTGAATGCAAGAGTAGAAGCTTCAATAGACAAGCACAGCTCCTACACATCATTACTATTAAAACAGTGAGTTCATAACTGAGAAATATTTATTCTAGAAGCCCCAAGTATGAACCAATACAAATACAACCTCCTCAGTATATAACAAATTATGAGGGCAGTCCATTAGCAGACAGTAAACACATGGCCTGGATGCAAACATTAGCTCCAGAAATGTCTAAAGCATCAGGTGACAGAAGCTGGGCACTGTCCTGCTTTTTATGTTCCCTCTCTAGGGATCCATCCCTACACACCTTCAGATGCAAGCCTATAGAAACACTGATCTGGCCTGTGATGACTTTTCTCATGTAGTATAAGAAGATGTTAAAAAGAAATGATGTGACTTCTTGATCCAGACTGCAAAGGAATAAGATATTCCCTTGTGTCCTCCTAACATCTAAGGCAGATGTTTTATCAGTCAAGAAATCAGATCACAGAGAAGCTATGCTGTAATATTGTGATAATGACACAAATAGGGCCTGTGGCTCACCTGTCTTAAAGATGTCTAGGTTTTCAGCTGTCGAAAATAAATGCTGCTTACGTTTTGATACAGACTTTAAATTTTCAACAAGAAAGCCAGAGAAACGGTTAAGATAAACCATGACCGGAATGTTCCCTATTGCAAATAATCCCATCCCACAAATGCTTTTCATAAATGAGTCAAGACCTATTTTAAAAATAGGTTTCCTATCTGTTGGTTTTCTACCCTTTTCTCTTCTTCCATAATTTTGTTGTTTGATTCTTAGAAATTCCCTTTTAATTTCCAGCTTAAATTTATTCATAGTGATTAAATCCATTTGTTCTGCTGCCAAAATTGGCCTTTATCTTAAATCGATCCTCTTTGTACCCAGTGCTCGTGCCGCTGGTGTATTTCGAGAGAACAATCTTATCTCCTCTCAGCCTTCATTTTGCTAGGATAAACAAGCCAAGATATTTTCTTTGCTTTTTTAAAATACATTCTCTTACTTCCCCTCAGCGTACTATTAGATCATCTTAGCTTCCATTCCAATCTGAATTTATTGTGCCTGAACACAAATCTCCAAATTATACTTAATAACTCAGGTGAGGCCTCAGCAGAACCACATACACAGCACCGATTCTCACTCTCTCGACTGGTTAGAGAACTCGTTGCCTGATTCACAATAAGACATATTGGCTTTACCCCCACCGACGTGATATGTTGGCAGTTTACAGTGACCCCATGGCCAGTTACACACCTAGTTCTTGGTCCTCCTCTGTTGCTTCCAACTAATAATCTCAAAGTTCACAGGAGAATTTCCTATTATTATGCATAACCTTAAGCTTTGTGTTATTGATGCTTATCTCCTTTCTACTATTCCAGTCCTTAGAACTGTGAGTTCTTCCTGTAAGATATTCCATTTATTTTCCATATCAGTTTTATCTGCCAATGCTACAATGTCCTGGGTTTAATAACACCCTCTTATGTTTTCTACTGAGATCATTAATAAAAATGTCAAGTAATATGCAGCTGAACAATAGGAATTTCACCAATAACCTGCCTCCAAGCCAGTAGTTCAATACTACCCTTTGTAGTCTCCCCACAACCCTTTGTGGGACTCCTCACAGTCCTCATCTCCTTTGTCTTTCTGTACAAATTGTCATCACCTCCAGCTGATAACTCCATAAATGAAGGGCACTGACTTCCTTTGTGTAGCTTATTTCATTATCACTGTACGGATCACCATAGCCAGAACAATTTTTACGCTTTCCTACATCTAGTGGTGAACAAAGCTTGTACTTCTTGTGTGCCTTTCCTTATATTGCACTGCTTTTCATAAGAAAGCAGTTAAAATCATCATCTTTGCAAAACTCTGCAGGAGGTATCTTTGTTTTAATTTGATCTGTGAATTCCTCCTGCTCCTCATCCTTTTAACAAAATTTTGGTATTTTCACTGGCAAAGGACCTCTCAGGTTAATCTTTGCAGAGCAGTGTGGCCTCAGCTTTTGAAGTTAATGAACATCTGCAAACCTCAGGTAGTCTCCATCTCCACATAACAAGCAAATGTGCCTTCCACAACACAAATGCAGGCACTCCTGCTCTTTCTGTGTGTTTTTCCAACTATAGTAGGTGGCATACTTAAAATAAGGTGCTTTTTCCCTAAAAACCACACTTTGCTGAGGTCACCAAAGCTAGAACAGCACTACTGACCCACTGACCTGGCTAACCACACACTCTCTGTCACCACCTCCAGCAGCCAATGGTGGAGTGTGAGAAGCTCCAGGACTGTGGAGAAGGAATCCAAGATAAACAGCTGGTTTTCTCTGCCTATCTTTATTCCTTCACCTGCTCCCACCTCTAATAGTGACAAAGCAATCTCTTGCACCAGCACAGCATTTTCTATCAGTACCTCAGCAAATAACTGCAAAGAAAGGGGAAGGAAACAAAAAAAGGAACCAGAGAAATAATTTACATACAGATGAAAGAGGTCTTTAAATACTTTAGTAGACTCTTGTCCTTTTACTTTTCCTGAAGTAAATCATGACTTGAGTTGCTACTACCTTGCAACCTATGCAAGGTCAGAATTCTGCCCACCCTGTCCTATCCTGACCCCCCAAAATACACTAATGTCTTGCCATCAAAAATAAAGACACTGAATCTATAAATTGGCTTCACTCAAAGAATTTAAAGTTTGGGGTTTTTTTTTATATCTAACAGAAGATATTTGACTTTTTTATTATAATAAAAATTCAGAAGGTTTTTACATGTGTACACCTCTCTAAAGCACAGGGTCTGTAACTTGGTTGACTTATTACTAGCTGAGGCCATTCCTCCTCTAAAGAGTACATAGATCCCAGCACGTGTCACTGTATATATGATGGTCCCAAAATGGAGACAACAAACTCATATGGTCAGGTAACTCAGCAAAGTTGGACCCCATTTCTACTAGGATGGTGTAAACCTCCAAAAGAACAGAAACCCCAGGAAAGAAAAATGCTCAAAAGCTGCAGCTTGGTAATGTGGAGAGATGGAAAGAAGACAATGGTCCATTGGGTGTTGTGCTGTGGAAGTGGTGGCAGGAATAGCTTCTGGCTCTGTCTGCAGGAAAAGATGCTCCCTGTCTGTTACAACCTTTACAACTCTGCCACCCTGCTCATGTCAAACAGGGTAGATGTGGCCACTGCTACAGCTGAGTAGCTTCACAGTTTGCTGCTTATGAGCAATGAACCATGAGGAGATCTGAACCCAGCTATGCAGTTATTATTAAAAAAAGTCTAGATTTTAACACCTGTCATTCACTATACCTTCATAGCTACACTGGGGAAAAAAAAAAGGTTGAAAAGACAACACCCCAAAGTGAAGTGTCAGAAGTTGTGCAACCTTATTTTGTCCCTCTTACCCAGTACTTTACAATGTCATCTTGTAATTCTCTGATTCTGGATGAGTGGGACAGGATAACCCATTTTTATGTGTTTCTTCACAGAGCTGCTATGAGGAGAGTAGCATCTTCCCTATTTCCAGTGAGGACAAGAGAAGAGGTAATAAGCTTAGACTATAGAAAGGCACATCTGTGCTAGACTCTAAGGACAACTTACTAAAGGTGAAGCTGGTGAAGCATATGACAGACTGCTTGAAAACATCTATCACATGATGTGCTTAAAAGCAGGACAGCTATTTCACTCATGGGAGTAATGTCAGTATAGCTGATCCTGACTTGGGGTGAGCAAGGAAGATCTCACAGGTTCCCATGGATCATTTGGTCTTTTAATTCCAGAATTCACTTTTGTCTACAGTTGGCACTCTGATATTTCAACAAGAGGACAAGCACCTGCTCCCAGATTGGCAGCATCTGTACCTCATCCCTGAGTAATTTCTTTATTATGATGCTGAAAGATATTTATGAAGTCAGAAGGAGAATAAAAACTGGATATTATAAAACTGTCCTTAGTGAAGGATTGGAATAACATGAAAGAATGAGGTACAGGGTCACAAAAAGAGCAGTCTAGGAAGGACAGAAATGTTGATTTTAGCATGCCTAGTCAAAAAACGATGTAACCATGTAAAGAATGCATCATCATGCTTATGCAAAAGGAAAACAAATTAAATCTGCTCTGGCAAAGGTAAATTTCCTAAAATTTAAATGCTTGACTTTTACAACATTAGTGTCTTTCTAAAATGGCCTGCTTGTGTACATTTGTCTCATCTGCAGCTTCTGTTGGAGGAAAAGGAATGGGCAAGAAGTAAACACAACAGAAGTCCTCCCTTTTCCCCTTTGCACAGCAGTGTGGTAACTGTAAGATCCATCACAGAATTCTGCCACTGACTTCTTGCATTTAAAATTTATAAAGCAAATATTTGTTTGTGATCTGCTGTGGACAAAAGAGTAACAGGACACTGCCAGCAGATTTTATTGGCATCAGAGAGATGCTGAGTAAGTAATTTTGGTGTTTTGCTTTAGGCCAGGGAGGGGAGAATCCTAGGAGGCTGTGCCCTTCTGCCTTTAGTTTGCCTCTTCACTTTCATACCCAGCACTGTCTTCACAGTCTCTTCATCTAATCAGTTCTGCCTCTGTGCCTCAAACTTTTCATTTTCATCCCCACTCCCTTGATCAGCAAGTCCTGTTATCACTGCTTTTGGACAGCTTGAAACAATCTCTTTAACAAACCATTCTCAGTCTTTCACTCCTATCTGAGATGCCTTCTTGCCCCAGCCCCAGTCTGCAGTGCACTTTTTCCCCTGTATCTTTTCCTCCCAAAAGGAAAGAACCAACTAGTCTCTGTCTCCGAGCTTTTCACCTACCTTAATCCTCATTCCCATTTACTGGCTGCCACCCCACTTATCAAGCCATCAGTATTTATTCCGTGCTCCTGCCCACCTCCTGCTCCACTAGCAGAGCTGCTGCATCTCCCCTGTAATCTGCCCAGCCACCTTCCTCTGCTGTCTCCCATGAAGGCAACATGAGTGACAGTGCACTCATTTTCCATGCTCAGACCCAAATCAAACACAGATCACTTAGAACTGAGCTTTTACTGCAGAGTCAGTGGAAAGTCCTGATTTGCCTCAGGTTATAGATACACCAGGGCACACTGAAACATCAGATAATGGCTTCCTACTGTGCATATTGCAATAGCTTGTTTTATTTTAGTTTATGCTGGCCAAACTTGGCAGGAATGAAACCATAGTATATCTCTACCTAATGAGTCTTCTCAACCTTGAACTGTGTGCTTCAAAGCATAGCTGCATGACAATCTTGAATAGAAAACAGATAATTTATTTTCCATTTCTTGCTTTCAGCAACAACTGAACTGACTAATTAAAAAAAAAAATAATCAACCTGATAGAGATGTCCAGCACCGATAATTTCATTCACAATAATTAGCATTTATCAAAATTATAACCAATTAAATTCAGAGTTCAACATCAGGAAATGGTGGAAATTACAGTAATAACTGGCTCCACCTATAACAATAATTGCTTTAATATCCATTATTTTTTTCTTTTCCAGACTGTACATACACATATACACAAAACCTGGAGACTTCCCGTGTTCTCATGTCAGTTTAAGTGTGAGCATTTTCCTTCTCATTACATTGATTGTCCTTACTTTATACCGGTATGAGATCAGTTCTACCTTACTATGTTCACTTACAGAAGAAAATCTGGGTTTAAAGGTGAGTGGAATGGATCTTCACCAATCATAAACCATGAATTAATAATAATATAGCTAGAACTTTCACCATCAAGCATAAATGAACACACGCTTGGGCATTCTGCTTTAAACAATCAATACTAACATAATAATGCAACTTACATCTTTTTGAATCTGAGAGATGTAAGAGGTTTATGGTTTTTCCATAGTTAGCCACTCAACAACTACTAGCTAAAGTACTTGCTTTTCTAGATTGCTTGCTTTACTGACTGCTTTTAGTATACAGATCTTGTAGAATTCCTGGTAGATATACACAAGAGCTTTGGGGATCAAGCACACCAGAACAAGAGAAGGGTGAAATTCCAGTAAATAAATGTTCTCCAAAAATTCCTCCAAAAAACAACAACAACAACAACAACAACAAAAAAGTATAAATAGCTCTCAGATAAGCCTTTTATAAATTGTATATATAAAGAAACCTTGCAATTGCTTAATTTGAGAGAATAAATTGCAATAGCTTTAGTGCACATCAGAAATCAATCATCAAATCTGAAAGTAGAACTGAAGCCTTAATAAACTTGATTATGTTGGAACATGTCTAAGTAGTCTCATTTGCTAATGAAAACAGAAAATGATTAAAATTCTTTTTTCTTATCTGACGTGTTTCATTAACTACATTTTCATCTCTATTATGCCTGCCCATTAAAATTGTCTGTGCTTGCAAACAAGCCCTCCAATAACCAACACAAAATCAAAATGTGTGCAGAAGGAGGAATAGGGCCAAGGGGCTTGAGACAGGCAAGGGTGTGACTTCTGGGTGTCTATTAACTGCTGTGTAAACTCTTAGTATAACCCACAGTGCTGCACAGCTGCAGGATGGGGAACATGGGGCAGGTCTGTACTGCAGATAATGGGGGGATTCCATGTATGAAAACAATACTTGCCAAGTGGGCAGCAGTGCTCGAAAGAGTAATAGACTGTGGCCAAAGAGCAGTAGAACGGGTGAAGTCAGGTCAAGAAACAGATGCAGCGAGTCTAAAGCAAGGCTAACCTCACCTCAGTACCCACTTTCATCATTATTGTGCAATAATCCGTACCCATTGGAATATTAATGCCCCAATGCACTGCAAGATGCAATTACCAAATCCATTGTCATGAGTGGGCAGTGTAAAGGCGGTGAGGGAGGAATCATTTTTCTTCTTGATGTTTTTTTCTGGCTAAATAGTATAAGACTAAACAACACAAAATACTCATCTATTCCTTGATTCACCTTAAGGCTGCCATTTTTTCAAACAGTCTTATTTTTGGGTGCTGGATCCTGAATTTTTCAACCACAGAAACTAGAACAGAAAAAGATAATCACCAGAAAAATAAAACTCTGAATTACTCACTAGCTAATGTTAACTAGAAATCAAGGCAAACTCATCTATTCTTCATTTAAGCATAAGCTCCAAAATTTTCTATTTTTATATATATATATATACACACACAAATTTTCAAGTCAATTATATATGTACCCACTTCAGATGAACAATTCCTGCTAAAATTATTTTTAATCTTTCATATTTCTTCAGAACAAAATTTGATCTCCAAGGATACCGACAAGGCTCCATTTTTTTTGCTAGCAATATGTTAGCATTAGTGGCAACGGCAGCACAGCAGTCTTGTACCAAACCCCAAACTTCCATTTATGGACTAAAAGTCAGGTTACAAAGGCTAGCTAATTAAACTTCCCAACTTGCAGCCTCTGAAATCAAAGCTTAGAGAAAAGAAATATCCTGTGGCAGGATACAGAGAAAAGATGAGGCAGGGTTTTAAAACAGAGAAAATCTGAAGATTTCAAATGTTGTGTTTTAATTATTAGCACAGGCATTCACAACTATCTGAAATACACTGCTTTTCAACATGCACTTTAAAGTATAAGCCTTGCTTATATTCTGTTTAAAGTCTCTTCTTTCTTACTATAAACAGGACTAGTTCCTTATCTATGGCATTATAGAATAAACACAGATTATAATTTTATTTAGCTTCCACCCCTCTCAACTGTTATTTCTAATTGTCTCAAATGGCAGCAGATGTGGCTTTAACATGACATATATATGAGGCTCTGCAATCTTTCCAACATTTTCTTTCTGATATTGATGAAATGATAGCTTTCTGCTTTTGAGCTTTGGGCCTTCAGTTTACAAGGCACCCATAGACTTCACCATTTATTTCATTTGTATTGACCCATCTCAACACTGTAAATCCATGCAGGCTATAATCTAAGCTTCCCATTTTGGATTTCACCTCCTATTTCCCCAAGATGGATAGACTGTAAAATCAACCTCCTTGTTGGTTTACTATGTCCCTCAGTAGCTGGAGTTTCAGGTGAAGTTGTAAACAGATGCATTCATCTTTGTAGGTGTTGACAAAATATTCAAGGTTGAGATCAAACCATGGACACTTACGCATGATGTCAGTTATCGCTTGGGCCAAAGCAAATCTTACCTCTGGGTCCAAAGCATGCTGGTAAGCTTCATAGAGAACATCTAGAAGCTGAGAGATATTCAGAAGCACATTTAGAAATGTTTGTTCACCCAAAGAGTTATTCTTTGTTGGGGGGAGATTTCTGAACATGGAAGCTGCCACCTGTATCACACCAACAGTGACTGGGTGTGGCATCTTTTTTTCTGGCACAGGATACTTCATCAGAAAGCTCAAGAACAGAACATACAAGAAACGTCCCACAGTAGAAATTTATTCCAGATCTTCTATAGTTAACATCGGGGGTTTTTTTACTGAAGCATGAAGAATTTTTATTCTACACATTTTTCCTTTAAAAAAGTAACAAGGCAATGCACTTACTACTTCAAAACACCTACTTCTTTCTACATTTAATCCATTCTCTGTTTCTTTTCCAGCCTGCACACTGGTTTCATACCATTGCAAACTCCATTTCCCCCAACCAGAAACATACAAACTCATCTGAGACTCTGTTATCTCATTTGGCAATGACTGTCACAGTAATTTTATATTCTTTGGAGAAATTCCGAATTAATAGAAAATGTAATTAAAGATGTACAAAAGTGCACGCCCTCTTCAAGCTGCTCTACTAAGAATAGCTTTATTTAAATAAAAAGTGTTAATTAAATAAAAAATTTAATTACAAATACCCACATCTTAGGACAGAAAAAGAAATGTGCCAAGTATGACAGCACATGAACTCTTGAGATGACATTGCAGTACTTTTTGGTCAGATGACAGAGGATTAAAAATATTAATTGCTTTGTTTATGGACAAATAGGTCATGTCAATATGAAATGGTCTACATCTGGCTGTGTTACAGATTCATTCCACACAGAAGTGAAAAAGCATCCACATTACTTTACATATTGAGACCAGAAGACTGTGGATGAGGGAGATGCAGGAGGACTTAGGAGGTAACTCGATGGCTGAGAATTCAGATTTCAAGGGTGACAGTCAAGTTCTCTGACTTAGACCTACCTGACCTGGACTGTTCTGGAGGAAGCTAAGACAGTGTTTGAGCAACAGGCCACAAGCAAGTTTTATATTGGCTAATCTAAACTGTCTCAGTTCCAGGACAAAGGACTATTGTTTCCTCATTCAGAAAGAACTCTAGCCCAGCTGGAATGAAAACTAGCAAGACCCAGTTCCATTTAATTTCAGCTGAAAGCAAAAGAATTCCATCAACAGCACATCTGTACATTTACTCCCACCTAGAGAGTTAGGCTGTGTGAGCAGTTCCAGGATATACTCTTTGACAGTTTTTGAAGACAGTGCATTTTTGCTGTAGAAGTTACCTTCTTCTCTACTCAGTGTTCTTCTTCCAAAAACAATGCAGGTTTCCTTATGCAGAAGGCTCGTGATAAAAATAAAAGGTAGATTCACAGAGGCAGTGTGATCATACGGCAACAGAAAGCAAAGCCTGTTGGGATGAGAGCAGAAACTTAGTGAACTAGCCATTTAGGCAGTATTTCATACAGCTCCATCACACAAAGCTCCTCCATGAAAACAGGACAGTATCCTCAGGAGATTTCTTAAACTACATACAAGTATTTTAGTTTAAAATGTTTTCTGTTTAAAGTCTTCAGTGGCACACAGGAGATTCCCTAACACCGTCTAGCACTGCTATTTTGAGAGCTGCCCTATGTTACTCCAGGACCAAGAACAAAACATTTGAAGTGTGTGAAGGCAACCTCAATTAGTGCCATTTCTCCCTGTTTCTGAAGTTGGCTATCTGCTCCTCTCCACTTCCTGCAGCATTGTCCTTGGGACTGGTGAGTCCCATGGAGAGAAACTCTTCCAATCTCCCTTGGGCCCCTTCCTCTGAACTTGCCAAATCTTCACCTTTCAAGACTGTAGTCTTTGGGCAGAAAGTGTGTATGCTTTTGTGTACCATGGCAAAATACAGACACATATTCAGAGAGAGGAAGTGGAAAGCCAGCAGGCTATGCAGCAGCCCTTGTGAATGGCAAAGCTACAAATCACTTAACACACATTTTTAGTTTTGGTTGGTGTGTTGTGTTTTCTTTTTAAATCTATATTAAATGGTGGCATTTTTTTTCCTCAGATTAACTAACAAAAAAGAAATACATATATAATATATAGTAATATATATATAGGTTTTATTAATAAATGGATTCTTTTCTATGCTGTAACATACAAAATATACCTCTGTCTCTTTCTGGTAAAAGGTAATCCAAATGATGGGCCTAGCCAGCTGCAGATTGAATCTCTCCTCTATGGGCTTCACACGGACACCATGATTATAGTTCTAATGACAGCCATAAGACATTTCTTGCACCAGCCCTAGAGAGGCAGGACCACATTAAAAAAATCACATCTTGGACTTCCTAGTGCCCCAGGTTCCTCAGGGATGCACCTGATTCTTCCTAGTCTGCATTTGCTCCATTCCGTGGCACGCAAGGAGGGACATAACATGCTTTGCAGTTTTGCTCTGGTGATTGCCTTGTCCTTCCCAATTATTCTTCCCAATTATCCTTCCCAATTATCCAGTGGTGGGTGACTCTCCCAAAGGCTTTGCAGAAGTGCTTCCAGTCCCTGGCACAGAAGCTACGGAGGATGTTGTCCAACAACAAGAGCATTTCAGCTCCCTTACTGCAAAAGCCACTACGTGGGGTTTTTTGGACGCAACTCACAGCACTCAGCAGTGCCAGCCCTCTGCACCCAGCCCAGTACCAGGCTCCCAAAGCATCTGAAACCTGCACCACCACCCGTGGTTGCCGGCTCTGGCATCTGTGCGTATATAGAACGGGAAATGTTGAAAGAGAACCTTACGCAACCTGAAGTGAACTGATTGCAAATCACTGTTTTCAGTCCAAGAAAAGCTTCTGTAACTGGCATTTTTTTTCCAAGAGAGCAGTTTCACAGGTCCAGAGGTCAAGAAGCACAGCCAATTGATCCACAGAGATGGGTCCCCAGCCATGATGTTGCAGCCACTGGACTGCTCACAAGCTACATTGCCTAAGACAAAAAAAAAAAAAAAAATAAGTAGAAAACAAGCAGATGCCAGTATCAGAGGGATTTCCACATGCCCAGAGTCCCAGGGTTTGTGGTAACCCTTTTTATTTACAGCAAAGGGTTGTGGTTTTTTGCTTGCTAGGGAGCCTTAGGCCAGGAAAAGATTTCAAGTCCCATAAGCTCTGGAGGACTCCAGAGTATTCTACCAGGCAAAGAGCAAGTTCACCATGCATTTGGTTTAAACATATCTCTTCCATCATCTTTTAACAAACATTCCTTGAGATAAAGGGCCATGGCTGAAGTTCAAAAGACCCATATCAAGAGACAAAGCCAGAGAAAGCACAAGAAAACTAAGGGAGAAAGTCGCATGGACTACTCAAAGATGAACGTTACAAAGAGATATAGAAGGGCACAGTGCAGAGCTAGGGGAGGGTTTTCTTTTCAGATAGCTTGGTATTAGAAAAGTCAGTCTTCAAAATACAAAAATTACTGTGAAGGAAGAAAAAAATCACTGCAGATGTTTCTTCACTAGCAGCCTGTGAGAAATCCTTCTGGTTCCTTAGCTGTGATATTATCTGAATTAGAGCTAATTTTGACAATAAATGATAAATGAAGTAGAGTGAATCGGAAATGTTTAAAGCTGTAGAGTTAAAAATCAGCCATGGGGTACATAGAAGAGGCTTTAGTAGCTACTCTTCAGCTCCAGACTTTAAGTGTCTTGTTTTTCAAAAAGCTGAACAAGAGAGTCATTTGAAGTCTATGATCACTAGAGAAGTCAACATTAAAAGTGTTTAAGATCATGGCACACAGAAAGAGACCATAACAAGAAGGAGCATAAGGAGTTAGGACAGGTTGTGTGTTATCAGTTCTCAAATGTACTGTGTGAAGGTGATAATAAAGTGACCTATAAACACAGGAACTGCTATACCACACTACCAGAGTACCCTACTTCATTCAGTAGTCTGCCTCCTCTCATGATGAATCACAGAATGGTTGAGGTTGGAAGGGACCTCGGGAGGTCATTCAGCATAACCCCCTGCTCCCAAACAGGGTCACCTAAGGTGGGTTGCCCAGGACTATGTCCAGTCAGGTTTTGAATATCTCCACAGATGAAGACTTTGCAGCTTTTCCGGGCAATGTCTCAATGTTTGACACCCTCACGGTAAAAATGTGTCTTCTTGTGTTCAGATGGAATTTATGTGTTTACATTTTCACTCATTGCCTCTGGTCCTGTTAGTGGGGTCCACTGAGAAGAGTCTGACTCTGTCTTCTTCATTCCCTCCCACCAGGTATATATATACATACTGATTAGATCCCTCCTGAGCCTTCTCCAGGCAGAACATTCCCAGTTCTCTCAGCCTCTCCTCATATGAAAGATGCTCCAGAATAAGGTCCACAGTAAGGACCTTCAGGTAACTTCAAAGAAGGTCCTACCAAGCATTTAGTAATTCAAAGGTTTGTAAAGGGTTTTGATCATCTTGGTCCTCAACTATGCCCTACATTCTCTGTCAGAACATTCAATTTAGGGAAGCATGCTAAAACATCAGGAACATTATCCTATCAATATGGAAAGTCATTCCAGTGATATAAGAGGTGTTTTGTGCAATTCTCTGAATATCATACATTTGTGCCATTTATTCACTCTTTTCTAATGGCCCTCCCCTCATACTTTGTACAATAACAAGTTTCTTCCTCTTTGCTATTCTAGAAGTACAGCTGCTCTTCTTAGAAGTCTGTAATACAGTCTGTCTCAATTCAGTTCCTACTATAAAAATGAAAGCAGCAGGAAAAAAGGAAGTCTGGAACATCAAATATTTTGCAGCTTCTTATTTACAGCTGAGAAAAGTTTAAAAGTGGTGGGAAGTAAATTTAGTTCTGAAGAAAAACAATCCAATACATTAATTAGAAGACATTCAGAAATAATTAACAGTATTATTTTCTGACTCTCTCTGTGCCTTGAAGATGTGCTTCCTCATTATATTACTTAACTACATCAGTAAATGTGCCTTCTGTGTTATTTTCCCCTCCAGGATGACTTTGATGTCTATGACCCTGAATAAATGCAAAACTATGACATTAACAATGTGTGACAAGCAATCTCACATGCTCAGCTAGGTCTTTGCAACACATTCATCACTTGGCTAACCAGTGGAAAAAGAAAGGTCCCAAAAATACAGTTAGAACATGGTCCTGCAGAAGTACAGCAACAGTTCAAAAAGTCATAGGACTGGCCTACCTTGAAAACAGCAAACCAAGTTATCACAGTTGCTCTGGACCTGTAGATATCTTACTTTTAACTTTCTCAGTGTACTGGCTGGCCACAAGCAGCAGCTGGTTCTCAAGCTCCTTCAGGTCCTCTAAGGCCACATGATATATTATATAAACCTCATGGGTCCTGTGTGTGAATATATCCATCTTCACTAGCGTGAGAGTCAGCATGGTTTTCCACCTCTGCAGACTCCATGAAGTGAGTGCTGTGGACCTATGCTGTGAAAAAGAAACAGAGATATAAGCAATCATTTCTGCAAGGGTTTCAGTTCTGTATAATCAATGTACCAGAGAGCGGACCAGGACCAGAAACATGGTATTTTGTCACTAGCAAAGAACAATAAAATAAAATACTGCCAAAATACTATTTTTTTACAGGTAACACCTACACTGTGATTGCATTTTTACTATCATGCAGTAAGACTGTAAAACTGTATGAAATTTCTATTGTGCCTAGTTTTTCCATCAGGCATATAGAACCACAAAAAGCACCAAGACTTCTAAATGAGAAGATTAGCTCTAGAACTAAGGTGGAACTTTTTTCACTTTTTCTCATTTAGCTCAAATTCGGCAAAAAGTGTCTCAGATTCTGATATTCAAATACAAAGTTAACATTTTTTAAAGCCTTGTTGGGTACTTGCAAGATTTGGAGAAAAGCTCACACAGACAGAGAGAAAGACATTAGCATGAATTAAAAGAAATGTCCTTTTACTGCTGTCCCAAATTGCTGCGATATCAGCACTTGTTCAATAGAATAGTTTAACAATCACCTTACTTTTCTAAAAAAGCATCAGCATCTTAGAAGAGAATAATTTACCTTGGCAGTGAGTCACTCGTTAGCTTGGTAACATCCCAGGCAACAATCCAGGACTGCAGTCAGCAGAAGTGGTGTTAGTTTTCAAAATATTCTGTTTCTTGATTAGGGGTGCCACAAAGGGAATAACATACCTCTGTTTCTAGGAGTATAATTACAGAAATTAATCTCCCATTCTAAATAAACTTTTTGTACATGGGGTATAACCATAGAAGTTTTTAAAAATCGTTCCTCTTGTAAGAAGCTAGCAAACAAATACAAGCTCCTCATTTTCCATTGTTTGTTTTTACTATTTCCTGGCATGTAATGCACCTTTGTTCTCACTTCAGTACCATATAATAATGTACAATGTACTGGGACTTCCTCCTTTCACTGTCTCTCCCAACATATGTCCTTATAAGATCCCCAGTGCTACCCAAACTTCACAAGCTAGCACCTGGATGTCTCAAATTTTATTAAAAGACAGGATGGAGGAAAGGAAAAGCTATTCACTTCACTAAAATCTTAGTCAAATGTAAATGTACTGGGAAGAACAGCTTGCCAGCTTCACAAATCTATGGTGGATCAGGATCCATTACTCACCGTAAAGTTAATGAGGCAGCTCTGCAAAATGTATGCCTAATTTGAACATAAAGTTGGATCAGCCTGGTCAGATTCCTTTCCTTTTTTTGATACAGTGTTCTACACTCTCTGTTCTTTCCTTATTCTTCTGAACAGACTATTTGTTTCACTGCTTTTTTTTGGTGGTGGGTTGCAGAATTTGCAAAAGGTTAAATCAAAGTCCTTTATAGAAGAATTAAGTTCAACTTGATTTAGGTATATAACTGAGTAAATACTGAGCCATAGCAGTAGGATTTTAGAAGGGGTTTTTAGTTATGTTTTTAAATATCCTTATGGAGAACATTCATTGATGTATCTCCACTTTCAAGCTCTTGAAATTTTTTTCTGTTGACTTCTGCTCTCTCCCGCTCCTAAAAATCTCCATTAAGACCACTGCTTTCTACAGAAAGGGCATGTGACTACAAAACTGAGGTGTTCTTAGAAAATAAAACCAAATAGAAATGAAGACTTCCTCCCTGACATGTTTGTTTTGGGAGACATATTTTAAAAAGACTATCCAATCCTTGTAATTACTACTTATGCCTACAAAAAATATTTATGTTAATACCCAGTTATATATGTCTATAGCAACAAATCAAGTAACTGGATACATATGTGTGATGGTTTTTGCCTGCAGGTTTTGGCTTTCCTCCTTTAGTTCTTCTCAGGTTTACTGGGCCTTAACAAACTCCTTTTGGCTTACAAAGCAACACTTGATGCACCTACATTTATTTTATTTACTTTATTCCAAGCTGAATCTCAACAGGGGACAGAAAAGAATTTTAATGAAAAGTAATGCATTGTTTTGCAGGGTTTTCTGTCACTGAAACTCACACCTCTCATGACCTCTATCCTGAGTGGGAGGGTACAACACTGCCTCAGAGTCTCAGTTTTGGATACACTGTGTGATGAGCCACCACATGGGCTCACAGCTTAAAATGTGGAGAGAGAAATAATACAGGTTCGCCTCCAATTTTGGGCATAGATTAGATAAAATATTTTAAAAGCAATACCATATGCTTTGGTTTTATAGCATAGACCAGAGAGTTTGATAGATTGGTCTCAATAAGTTTGCTAGAAAATGGTTCTGTTATTGTTTTGGTTCTTGAGAGATAGTCTGTGCAGTATATTAAGGAAGAAGAAGCACCACATTAGAACCTGTAGCATATTATAACCTGTAGTTAAGGAAATATGCTTGCCCCGTTTCTAAATTTGTTTGCAATTAAACTGTAATAGGATTTGTAAATATTTATCTAAGGTTTAGTTGAAGCTGAAGTGTGTATATATCCATATCCATGTACTAGTCCTGGGAAAGAGCAGCCACTGTGAAATAACATCTCTCACTGCTAGGGACTCTCTGAAGTACTTCACAGCTAATCTCAAGATCAGAGAATGCTTAGATGGAAGGTTAGGATTGATCTTTGAATCATTTCTTCTATGAGAGAAAAAAAGAGAATGAAAATAAATTTATATTATGCAGAGCTCAGAACTTGTCACGCCTGCCCCCCAGAAAACGGACCCCTCCAACTGGAAAACATAAGTTTTTAAATAACTTTTTATGATTTGAAAATTCAAAGATGCTGCAACGTCCTGTTCAGTATTTCTTCAGTAGAAAATCACAGTTTTCTAGTTCCAAGTAGCTTATCATTTAGGGAATTTAACTGATTAGATTTTTAAAGGATAAGTGTGGCCATATTAGAAATAAAACTAAAGATACATTAAAAATATCATCAACATTATGCTCTCTACACATATTTTATTTTCTAAGAGGTTTAGGGTTTGTTATGTTCAGGGACATGACTTTTTTTTCTGGTTTGGGTTGGGGGTGGAGGGTTGAAAACTTAAACTACAAATGGGGGCAGGAAGTATACTTCCTTTCTGGTTCTAGCCACAGTTCTTCTATGAAGTGGCTTCTGTGTTTAAAAAAAAAAAAGTTTTCAGTAAAGGAGAAATAAATGTGATCTCAGAATTTGAAAAAAACCCTCCTGTTAAAATAGCATCATGTTTCTTCATGCCTTCTACAGGAGAACTTTGGGATGAGTGTTATGTAGCAAAGCTGCAACGAAATTCTATAGCTTAAAAGACAAAATACTATATCACAGCAAACCACTAATTTCAGCATGATAGATTGATTCTGTTCACTGTATTTTACCAAAAAAAAAAAGTCAGGCAAACCAAAGTTTAATAAGCCTTAGGAATTTAATTCAAATTATTATTTTCCAATCTGTGAAGCTAAGTGTACTAATTATTTCACTTCAGCCACATGCACTCATCCCAGCTTAAAAACCAGTAAGTCATAACCTCTACATAAATCTAACTAATACATTTTAGAAGTCATCAGGAGTTACTCAAACAAGAATTTCCAAAAATTGCAAAATGCCTTAGATTTCTTAGGAACAGCTACTCTGTGTGATAATCCCACACATACAAAGGTCCCAGTTTAAGCACAGTCAGCAGCAGCAGCCTAAGTAAATGTTTATCTGGCAGGCAGTGTTGACATCACACTTTTACGTGCCTGAATTTTCTCAGAGGTTTGCTACAGACTGCTGGTAGCTGTAGGTATTTAGTTTGTTAAGGCAAGACATGTGGTTCTGAGGAACAAGCTACACTGATTGATTCAGCAATTGATCATGACATAGCTTTCATGGAAAAGAAAGCTTGATTAGGCACTCCTGTTGAAGCACACATTCTGGAAGAGGAAAGGCTGGGTGATAGCTCACCTTGTAGTCAACTGGTGTGTAGTGAATATACAGCTGTGAACTTAGGCCATCAAAACCACCAGTGCTTCTTTTGGCAGCACTGACCCAGGAGGTGTCTTCTGCACTGGGAATTAGGTGGCCAGCCTTCAAGGAGAGGCCAGCGGTACTGATGGTCAGGCTTCTCTCCATGGATCGGGAGTAATTAAGGATCCCCAGGGACACTCACTGAAACAAACCACAGCAAATGCACAGCTGCATTTTCAGTTTGGTGACAGTCCCCCTTTTCAAAAATTAACTCTGATCTGCAGATTTTATGTCGAGTTTTTTTACCGTTAGTTCCCGGAGTTTCAGGTGACATAAGAAAGGAAAGGACAAGTAGCTCCTCTCCTCACCACATGCTTCCTGTGAGCAGTCACTGTGCCCTCTTCTAATCCCAGCAGTTGCAAGCTGCCTGAATTACATCTTTCTCCAGACAGAATAAGTATAATTGCATTTTTGCTACTCAAGAAGATTTTTAAACCTTTTTAAAGTAAACAGTTTTGCTGTGTAAGAGAAGGCTGTTGCTGCCTACAGGAATGACTGTCATGGAAACCTGCAGTATGGAATGATGGAAAAGGATGGCTCTACTGCTGCTGTCAGAGAAACAGGCTGATATAATGTTTCTTTCTTATCTCAGGTTTTATTTAAAAAAAAAATTATATATATATAAATACACACACATATAAGCAATTTTTTAGTCTCTTTCATTCTTCTTTCTGAAGGATTTTGGAGGCTTACTGGAGCTGATACTACATCCTCCACAATGTGAGTCACAGCTGTGTTATTATCCTGCATAGTTAGTTCCTAGTTCCGACACACACAGTTCAAAATTGATTTAGCAAGTATGCATATGATTCTTATTTGACAGATTTATGCATAGGCTTTATCACAATAAAAGGAAAATAAAAGGAAAGGAAGTACCATACTGGATCAAATTCATAATCTAGCCAGCAATGAAATTATCACAGCATATAACTCCATCATATTTGATTGCTTTCCAGTCCTTAGTTGTTTGTCCTTATGAAGTCCTGGGGCTGTATGAGGGAGCTATGCCTGTTCCAAAGGCAAGATTGTGGCAAGGGTCAGATCAAGGAACTTTTCCAAAGATATTCTGAAAATGTTTCATCAAAACCTCAACTCAACAGTGGTTAGACCTCCTAGTCCATCATTTTTCTTTCTTCAAAAATGAAACCAAAAATATTTCTAGGCTCCAGCAGTTCACAAGCAGAGCATGGGGCAAAATCTTAATGTGGCAATGAAGAAGTAACATCAGACTGGGCTGTAGCAAAGTTTTACTGTGATGCATGAAACACATAACATTCCCAACATAAGCATATCTTAAATGCTCTAGCTAATATTCTGTAAGATTAGATTAAATAATTGGGTTTTTTCCTCACTGCTTCCCATTACATTCAACAATGTAGTAAAAAGAGTAGCAGAAGATCAGCAAGCAGAAAAACAGCTACACTTGCCTTGTTACCAACTCCATTAAGGCCTTCTCACGTGAACCATGAATGAATCCACCAGTTAAACTAAACCGGTATTAGTACCAGTGTAAATGAGATTACTATGAGCCACATATAGCATTTACTAATTATGGAACATTATGGACAATAAATAACTAGGTATTATCCAATTAATTTCCTCAGACAGTCAAGTCTATAAAAAAAAATCTGTCCTCTTAACCCCCTTCTCCATCCCAATTTATTTTACTGCTTCACTTGAACTTGGATGGCATAAAATGGAATTATATTCAGTGTGTTAAGGGTTTTATAGTATTGATTTTGGCTTTTTTTTCTTCTAATTACAGAAAATCCTATTAATGTATCTTCGTGCTTGTCAAATTTATCCTGCTCAACACAAGACATCCTAGCAAAGATATGCATAGAAGTGAAACAGATAAACCAGGACAATGTTGTTTGTTTTATGAATTTGCAAGCTGACATGAGTATATTGCCACCAAAAATTCATGGGATGAAGCATTTCCACTCCAAATTTCCACTTTAAAAAGACACAGAAAATGATATCTGAAAATGCCAGTGAAATAATGCCAGGGATGTAAGTGATGGCACATTTTTGAATACTAGTTGAATTTTTCTTTTAAAAACAAGGAGGTTTGGACTGTGCTTTTTTTTTGTAGAGGAACTAATTCTAGCTCTTCAATAAAATCATGAGTATACTGTTTCAAAATCGAGATCAGTCACATCCCTGGTACTGCCCCCAAGTAAGTACTCTTTTTCCAAATCAGCTGTGGACTCAGTGCACTCACTTGACAGAAGGTGTACAGTGCAATCAGTGCAATCCTTTTTTTTTTTTTTTTTAATTAATCATTCTGTAACTTGCATGAGTCAACCCAATGTTTTTTTTTTCCCTGAGGTTTTCATTAAGTAATCAAATATTTTCTGGTCAAGGACAGCCTGAGGTAGGAGGAACAGTATGTTTTTACATGTGGGAGCTTTTCCTTATAGAAAAATGTGGGTTTATTTTTGAACACAGAGTTGGTATCAGGCTTGGGGCCATCTAATCAGTAGGAAAGATGGGATGGGGGTAGACTCAATGCTGACTCTCTCCCTCTGTTCCCTCTCCCCTGCTCCTGTGTTAAGAAGCATCAAGCTGCAGACACAGGAACTTCTGAGGTGTAACTGTGCTGTGCATAATGCTTTTGTACTTGCCAAAGCAGCAACCATGAACGACTTCTGAATCAGAAGGACAATAAAGAAATAAGTAATCAAAGTCCATCTTCATCAAAGGGATACTTCAAAATTCAGAGGATTAGTCACAGAGCTCACCACATAAGGCATGCCATGTCACAGTTATTACAAATTCCCCAGACACCAAAGAGGTAGGTCCCACTTCTCATTCACCACCCTCCCAGCTAGCACATTTGTGGGTTTTTTTCCACTCACCAAAACCTGAAGATCTCTTACACCTGCTCTCACAGCTACTGAACCTCTGTAAGGTCATGCCCACGAATGCCACTTCCTCCCCAAGAGGAGGAATGTGCTGCCACATCTGCCCCTACACAGTGCTGGCATCTGCTGTCAGGTTCACAGGTGCTCAGCTGCTGGACATCCTCCAACAACCAGGACATCCTGCCATCTTTCCTCACTTCTCCTCCATATGCACACATGCTAATCCATTCCTTTATATCACACTTTCAAGTAAATATTAGGAATACTAGGGCACACTTCTATTTCTTGTCGCTAAATTCACCCCCCAGCCCTGCTAAAGGCACATACACATATTATTTTAAGGTAGGTGTAATCTTTCACTACTTGTGCTATGACTGGTCTGATGGCTGCACAGCAGCTAGTGAGCCCCAGATGAGAAGAGGGCATCATGTATGTGGCTTGGGCATGCAACCATACATTGCAGCTAGGCAGGTCCTGCTTAGCAGCAGTAGCAGGAGATTGTATTTTGAAAAAGGATCCAAACAGAATTCTGTTAGAGGAGCCCTTTATCAGAGCTCAGAACCACTTGCTAGACATGTTAAGTGATCATTATTCATCATTTCCTCATCTAAGTACCTGGTGGAGCTCAGTGTGGGTATAGATCTCCTTCTAAACAAGATCATAGCTCTGCTGTCTTGAGGCATGAGAACTGGCAGAACTTGACTGCTCAGGATGTGGTTTTGACACCACTGCTGTACGTTCCTGGAGACCCTCCATGACCCTCTCTGTGTCCAATACCTTGTTTCAAACCACATGAAATACAGACAAAAGATTCACAAGGCCAACGAGTCAGTGTGCCAGCCTCCATCCTGCAGTGAGTCATGGTCAACTCAGAGCATCTAGTAAGGGAGCCTTAGTAGCACCACTCCAGACTGCTTCTCCTTGATTTGGGAAAGTCGTCTGCTGCCCTCTCTCCAAGGTCAAAATATAGAAATAGACTTCCTTATCACAGCATATGGAGGGAATACACCAGGTAAAAGAAAGAATACTGAAGCACTTTCTTGGTTTTTGCCTGAGACTCATGGAGGGGAGGGACTTCCAGGCAATCCCCTCTCTCCTTCCCTGTTACCTCTCACCCTTAAGGAAGTGTACATGTTTCTTGACCAAAACTAAACATACCACATTTGGTGAGAAAGTCACTATGACAAGACCAAGGAGAATGATATTTTTTTCATTGCCTCAGTGAGCTGCAAAGCCATTCTAGCTTTTGTTAGTGGTGATGATGGCTTTTGCCCAAGCTTTCCAGAAAAATGACATGCTGTGGCAAGATTTGAAAGAATGGCTTCTTTGTGAAATATCTGGCATGGGGAAAAGGTCTGAAAACAGGGATAATGAAAGAAAGATTATTTCAGTCCTAAATTAAAAAAGAAAACAAAACAACAACAAAACCAAAAACAAAACAAAGGCTATATATGGCCAATATTTCTAAGAGTATCATCAAAATCAAATCTACCCAATTATTTAAAGTATTATAAAGCAAATTTCAGCTGCAAAGTCTACACACCCACTTTCTGATTTTTGTGATTTAAAAAGTTTTCTCTCAAGTGATTTGTGAGACCCACAAAAGTAAACAATGAATGTTAAATAGGAATGAGAGAGACTAAATATATAGAGAGTACTGGTAAAAAACCACAGGTTAAACAAAGTAAGTAGTAGTACCAAAGTAGTTTTGTAAAAAAGCATCTAATCTTGTAGGATTTTTTAGAATTGCCACTTGTATCACAAAGTATAATTTGAAGAACATGGTCATGCTTTAGCAGTTATTGGTATCAGTAAAATCCTGTTGATATGAATTCTAGCAAAGAATTGATAGGAATTCTAGGGGAATTAAGACCAGGAGTTTTACAGGACACTTCTTTATCACCTTTTTTGAACAAAGAAATCAAAACAAATAGAACACTGCAGAACTTGCTCCTTGGGGAGCAAAGACCAAAGAGCCTGGTGACATTTTGTTGTGGTGAGCAGAGCCCGCCCTAGGCAGGGATCGGCGTGGGGAAGATCTCGCGATGTAACGGAAAGCTCAGACTGCCCACGAGGGGCCTTGTGGGCGTGGCTTGTGCTATATAAGCAATTGCAGCGACGCAATAAACGCCATTTGCAGCATCCTTCACATTGAAGCCAGTGTCTGTGATGGTACCCAACGGCAGAGGTTGGGTGGCAGAGATCCCGGGGATCGGGTGTCGGTAACGACAACATTTC